TCCTAATGCAGAAGCACATTTTGAATAGTTTTGGCGAACTTGACAATGAATGCACTCTCTCTAACAAAAATCAAAGAAGAGGCTAACAAAAGAAGATAGGAAAATTTTTCTTTGATGTAAAAAGCCATCTCCAACTTTAAAAAGCCATCACAAAACCTCTCTAAAACAACCTACTAAGTTGGAGGATAAATGCCTCTATTTATACTAGCAGGAGAGAGCCTTAGCCAGGAAGGCTAACATCAATGGAGTCGTCAAATGTCATCAACTCTAGCCATTAGGGCTAGAGTTACAAAGGTTCATATAATAACCCCGACCTCTGATTTACGTTAATTCTTGGTTAAATAAGCTTAATCAGTAATTAAGAGAAATTCTGAATTAAATTGCTTGTGTGTGTGTTGCAATATTGTGCTTATAGCTATTTAGCGTAGAAAGATCTGTTCGTGTTTTCGTTTCGGTTTGTGAATTGAAGGCCTCATCGGCATCTGATTTGGAAATTGACTTGATTTATGTGTTAATTAGAATTTTTAGAATTTTATGGTAGGTTCAATTGAAACTCGATTCGAAACAATTAAATTAGATTAATTAATGTCACTTTGCTTAGCTTAAGCTAAATTAATTAAATATCACGAAGTGGGCCCCTATAAGGCCACTTCTATCACTCCTACACATTTTTGACACCCTTGTTTCCTCATCTATGAACTCAACGTAAGAGAGAGAGAGAGGGAGGATGGATCTCAACTAAAGGATTGAAGAATTGAGCAAGAATTTACTAGAATTGAAGGATTTGGACTTAGGAACTCAAAATTAAGCTTCTAGCTCTCATCTTGACAAGCTTAGGTAAGGAATCTAACCCCTAGTTATGTAATTGAGTTAGCTTTTGTAAGAATTCAAGTTAAAGAGGTGGACTAACATGAGAATGGGCTAGGATTAAAGAATTGTAACTCAAATCATACATGCATGTCCATATTATGAAGTTTTGAAGTTGTTTTCATAAGAATCCTCACATGCATGTTCATATTTTGGTTGTAGACTAAGAATTCACCATGTTTTTGAGTTGAATATTTCATTTGCTCATGTTTTGGAAAGCTATGAACTCAAATTATACATGTATGACATGGTCACATCATATTCTTACATTGCAAGTTGAATGTTGCACAATTGACATACTTTTGGGCCTTGATTTCATAAAATGATCTTTACACCTTCATATTTTACAAGTTTACACATGTTATCTTAAGTTTTGGGCCCAAAAGGATGTGAATTATAGCTTTGGATTTGAATTTGTAGCTTCGGAGTGCAACCTGGAAATTCTAAATTCCGCACTTTCGCTCGAGCGTGAGATTCTACGCTCGAGTGAAAACCTTTGTTTTTGGATTTCCGCTCGAGCAACTTGAAGTACGCTCAAGCGTGAAATACATGCCCCCTAGAAGTTTCATGTTTTTACAAACCGCTCGAGCGGCGAGTTGCGCTCGAGCGGGGAATGAGTCTCGCGCTCAAGCGGCCATCGAGCGTTCATCAAGCGTGAAAATTGCATAAACAGTACTTTTCAAAATAAACTGCCGAATAGGTGCAATTTTTGGACTGAACAGATATGGTTTCAAATGAACAGGTGCAAACACTATTTGAACAGATAACTGCTGGAATGAAGATCTGTCCGAACAATATGAACTGTGCAGTTTCAAAACTGCGTAACTGCAGCAGTTTTGAGCGGGTTCCAGTAGTTAAACTTTTTGAAATTTACGGACTGAAAGAGGTAAAACATGGACAAAAAATTTAAATTCAATTTTGGCACCAAATTTGAATTTAATTTCATAAAGAATTTCTGGAAAAAATTCAAATAAATTTCCTCCAAAAATTTAATGTTAAAATCGATCCACAACCCACACCCACGCTCGGCTGGGCTGGATGGCGACAGCGTGCACGCGTGTAGTGGTTTGGGATAAGGTTCACTTTATCCATAATTTCTACCTTCTACAAACTTGGGTTGCCCCTTAGAGCCCAACCCAAGTTAGTACACCAAGAGCTCATATACTCACAAAAACTCTCTTAAGGTTTCAATGTGAGACAACACATTTCAAAGAAACTCACATTTACTTCTTTAATTGTCCACTCCACGAACCCAAAAAAGACGTCAATTTCCCATTCACTCATATATGATTTTGACGAACCGCCTTCACTGTGTGACTTGCCATGTAGCAAAGAACACATCACCTCTTCAGATCTATCCCAAAAGATGTTTGAAACCCACTCAATTTTAAACTCAAAATTAACCCAAAATAAGCCATTAAAAACTAATTATTCCAACACTCAGGTGATTCCAAATTTAGACAGTTATCAGCTGGCAGTAGAGACAAACATAGGTCCCCATCTAAATTCAAAGGCTGCCCAGATATTTTCAGAGACAAAACTAAATGAAGATGACAAGATACAATTCTCTTCTTTATCCACAATGTTATCCCCAAAATGCGTGCAGAACATTCTATTCTCTCTGCATCAAATGTCCACATTTCAAAAACCAAACAAATAAATAAATAAATAAAAATTACAAAAAAAAACAATCTTGACAAGATTCAATAGACAAAACAAAGTAGTAGCTTTGACTATTTAATGGAGGTATATATGTCAAAATATTTACAATCACAAATAACCCACTTGCCAGACCACCTTCATCACACATTCACTCCTTTTCTATCCAAACAAATATAGAAGCACTTGAGAAGAAACACATTCGACACTCACAAACCCTACTTATCCTCAAACAGGATCTTTGAAGAGAATTTTCATTTTTTCTTTCTTCTATGAATGGAAAAAAAGAAGAAAAATAATAATTCGTAAGCCAACAAAATCAAAAGATCTTCCGTTCAAATTTTCGTCATTTTTTTTTTTTGGCGTTGTCTTTTTTGTAGTTATCTACCCTCGTTCCTTATCTTCAACGATCCATCTTTTATCAATTTCAAGCTCAGACTATTGTACCGCTCTCGTGAATACTGCCTCGACGCTTTTCTCCAATCTGTACCGGCCTTCATCATCGCAGCAAACTCCTCATAACTTATACGGCCATCCTGCAAACATTAAAAATGGAATCTAGCATGAAGAAGAGTGCATATCTTCTCAGATCAAAATGGATGCACAAAATATGCGGACATGGAAGAGTGCATAACTCCCAAGAATAGCACATTTTAAACTCAGAATCCAAAAAACAAAACAAACTACCATGACCTTGTCAATTCCACATTTAATGTCAATAATTCTAAAGTATTCCAAACTAAACCCAAAATTTAAAGGTTAAGAAAAATACAAAACAAAAACTAGAATAAAACTAATACGGACCTTGTCTGTGTCAACGTCCTGAATGATGGCATTAATGACTTCTTCATTGTTGGTCTCAACTTCATCAGCCAAGGAATCCCTTAGTTCTTCAATCTCTATATACCCACTTTGGTTTTGATCAAAGAATTCAAAGGCTTTGTGAAGGTGATCATCGGCGTTGCCCATCTTTTTGAGGTGAACTGAAATAGCTACGAACTCCCCATAGTTCAAATGTCCATCCTTATCTACATCGCCCTGTAAAACATCCTCAAATTACTTCATCATGAATAGAACTTCTTTTACACCACTTCTTATAAAGAACACTATTAGAAATGTCATTTATTTCGCAAATTTAAGAAGAATTTCTTACAAGTGAAGCCTAAATAAAGTTTATCTAGGCGGGCACTTTATCTGATACAGAGGTCAAAGGCTTAAAAACTGGTTTCCAAATAGAGGATATTACTCACAGCTTCCATAAGAATCTGGAGATCTGAATCAGGCATCTGATGGCCAAGCTTCAGCAATCCAACTCTTAGTTCATCGATGTTGATCTTCCCTCTGTGGTTGGTATCCATCAATTGGAATCCCTCCTTTATGCCCGCCACTTCCTCCGCTGACAAATGCTCAGCAATCACCTGTTAAACAGAAAGTAATTTTGGTAATGAAATACATGCGCGGAACAAAATAATCTTATTTAGTTTATTCCAATTAGGTTTGAAATGTTACCTTTAGAGCTCGTTTCTTGAGCTTGTTCATCATAGAAAATTGCTTGAGCCTTGCTCTAACAGTTTCACCTAAAGAAACATTCGGAGCCTTGTTGGCGTTTTGTAACCAAGGATGATCTGAAATTAAAAGCAAGCAAAAAACTTGATTTAGGTTTCTTACATTATGATAGTAGGAATTTGAATGTAATGGTTTAGTTACTTATTTTGCTTGGCATTAAAAATTTATAGAACTATTACCTTGCAATTTCAAAAGAACTATACACTACCTAGCACTTGCTGAGCAGTAAGCCGCTGCTTAGGATCAGGGTTAAGCATCTTCTTTACAAGGTCTTTCGCATTGTCAGAAACTTTGGGCCAAGGGTCCCTCTTAAAATCCACAACAGAACGAATGATTGCTTGGGCAACTCCTTGTTCAGTCTCTGCATGGTACAAAAACAGAATTTTAAATAAGAACTAAACTCCAAGGTATGATTCCACCAAGGACCCATATAATGGTGTACCCATTTATCGATCTAGACAGTTCATCCATAAAGGAATGCTTTGCGGTTAATAATCTTTTTAATTTGACTAATAAGCTATTCATAATTTTATGGGGAAAATTCTAATTGTCATCCTTACAAAGTAAAACATTTCTAGGTATGTTTCTTATACTTGGATTGATAATACCCATCTTATTTGGTTCAATGGGGAGACAAGAAAAAGAAAACGAAAACTTTGGAAAAAGTATATTCCTCCATTTAAAGAACACTAAAAGAAGATAACCAAAATGCCATCACCAAAGTCATTTAAACTACAAGGTCATTTGTATAATTGTCACATAAGAGAAAAACGCCTACACAAATTTCTAAGTTGCACATAATGCCTGCCCGCAAAACCTCATTTTTAACAGTTAGAAACCTCGGGAAGTGAAAAGTAGTCATCAAATCTATGTAAAAACGAACACTAACCTGCCCAAAATGGTGGGACACCACAAAGTAAGATATAAAGGATTACTCCAGCACTCCAGACATCAACTTCTGGACCGTAATTCCGTTTCAGCACCTCAGGAGCCATGTAGTAGGGACTTCCCACAATCTCATTAAATCTCTCACCTGTAGAAATTAAACAAACTTCAGCTAGTGTAAATGAAGGGACCAAGCAAATCTTTCAAGTGTAATGAGTATCAAAAGGCATTACCAGGTTTAAAGAACACCGACAGCCCAAAATCAATTGCCTTCAAGTCTGCTGTTTCCTTCTTGTTAGCGAACAAGAAGTTCTCAGGTTTGAGATCCCGATGCATGACCCCATGCTTGTGACACATCTGCAACACACAAAAGAGGACAATAATTTCATGTCTAGAAGCATGTCCAAAACTTAAATTCTTTCAAGGAATAGCTCAGGGAAAATGAAAACAATCACTTCACAAAGCATAAAGAAAAAATGGAAATAGCCAATAGAACAGTTGGCTTCATGTGTTTAAAAAGAAAATAAAATTACCAAAAATGGAGCAAACTAAAAGCCCGCACCACATAGTAAATAATAGTCAGAAGACAATGACTCAAATCGTAAAGATGCAAGTACCTAGTTCACAAATGGGCAAGATTTCATGTTTTGTGACAAGGACAAATGAAACTGAGATCTCAACATCTTACCATAGGAACTAGAATCTTGAAATGGAACCAAGATATGCTAAAGTTTTTAGGTCACCCAAACTCAGATGAAAAATTATTCTCAAATGGATGAAACTGAAAAGGGAAATTGAAATTTGTATCGAGCAATTTATCTTCACCAGGACTTAAATTCCCTTAATTCCAACAACTAACCCACAAATCCAGTTAATGTAAGATGCGCCAAGTAATCAAGATCATTACCAGGAAATAACCGAAACTAAATCAAATAACCATTGGCTGCAGACATAAGTAAACTCTTTGGGGTCCTCAGTTAAGGTTTAAACTCTCCTTTTGTGCATTAATATATATATATATATATATAAGTACATATTATCTCCAGCTAATAATCATATTGAATTAATTATCGTACTCTACTTAAAAACATAAATGCAAGTGTAATCAGTTAATTCAACACAATAAAATTGGAAGATGGTATACAGATCAAAGCAATAACAATAATAAAAGTTACATAAAAACAAAGATAGATCTTCACCATAATAACTTCGACAATTGTTCGAGTCACAGCTGCAGCCGCCCTTTCGGTGTAATGCCCCCTAGCAACAATTCGATCGAACAATTCACCCCCCTCGCATAGCTCCATCACCAAGTGGACAGCACTATCATCCTCATAAGTGTCCTTCAAGGTGACAATATTAGGATGTGGTGGCATATGCTTCATGATCTCAACCTCCCTCCTCACATCCTCAATATCCACTCTAGTCCTCAGCTTCTTCTTGGATATTGATTTGCAAGCAAACACATCCTTAGAAGATTTATCAGTACACAAATAGGTAACCCCGAATTCACCGCGCCCGAGCTCGCGACCCAGCTCGTATCTCTGCTCTATTTCATGTCCACTTGGGTTGTCCAATACATAGGACTTGTAACCACCATTTCCAACTGTGTGGTTTGTACCATAGTCAATAGCAAATGGGTTTTGTTTTTTTTCCTTCTTTTTCTTCTCTGTTTCAAGAGATGGCGTCACACAACAATTTCCCATAAATCAAACCCTTCAATTCTCAACTTTTTTTGATGTTTTGATGTAATGGGTTCCAATGTTTAACCAAACTATGGGTCAAAATCAATCAAAATCTTAAAAAACAATAAGAAACCAAGAGGGAAAAAAAAAAGCTTCAATTTCTCAAAATCAAAGCTTCAAATCTCAGGCTTTTTCGATCTGGGTCTCCATATTTGAGCAATATATAGGTGATGATAGATCAAACCCTGATCTTTTCTACACAAAACATAAAGAATTTCAAGAGTACAAAACCTGGGTTTTCTTCTTCAACTTCAAAACTGGAGGATGAGCTTCAACACCAACTCTGAATTCTAGGATCATGTAACCCAATTCTGATTTTCCAAATAAAAAAATTAAATAAAGTTATATGGGTATTAATGGGAATGTTCAAGGAAAAAGAGGGAATTCAGAGGGAATTGGAAACACTGAAAATTCTTGGAAGATGGAGAGAAGATTTATGGGAGAAAAGAAAAGGGTTTGGGGTGAAGAAGAAGATGAGAATAGGAATTTTGCGTGTGAATCCTATCATGGAAGAAGATGGAGAGAGAGAGAGACAGAGAGAGCGAAAAGGTCAAAGCCATTATCAAAGAGACTTCCTTCCTACCCCCTCTCTCTCTATAATTTTCTCTCTCTCTCTCTCTCTCTCCCCTCCAAGCGGATAGAGAAAAAAGAGACTTCTTTTCTGTTTTCTCGTTGTTTTTTGTTTCCAAAAACATCCAAAACAAATTTCAGAAGCTTGGAAGGGAGATTCCTATTTACAACGCGATTTTGTCTTTTTAGGCCAAGTTTGGGAAAATTAAAAAAAGTGTACTTTTTGTCTTTTTGGACTAAAAAATTGAGGTTGAAAATATGGATGTTTGGGTTAACTTTTTGACTTTTTATTGAAAAATGTGTAATAAAAAAGTGTAAAAATTGATTTGTAGGAAAAAATTTGAATTGAGAGTTGTGCAGCCGTAATTGTTGACTTTTGATGAATAGTGTTAACTTTTTAACTAAATGAAACTTTTTAACACAGGCTAAAAAACTAAAAAAAAAAAAAAAACAACTCACATCCCAAACAAAACCTTACTTTTGTTTGATTTTTAGAAGTCTTCTACTCACATGTCCCAAATTAATAAAAAGAATATATGAATAATAATATCTAAAAAAAAAATTAGTTGCAACTACCTTGTTGGCGTGATGGTATGCTTTCTTTCTTTTTTTTCTTCTTCTAATTTTATACATGAAATAAATACCGAATTAGTTACTAGTTACAAGTTGATTAATAAATGATGTGTGGACTTTCAGAAGTGTTCATAGACCAAGTCAAGGCAATTTAAATAGTTAAAATATAAGAGTGTTTTGAAAAAATAATTAAAACATATTTTTGTTTTGTTTTTTTTTTTATTTTATGTGAGAGATGAGGTGAGCTAAAATAATAAAAAATTAACTTTTGACCTTTTTAATATGTTACCAAAACACCCCATAATAGTTAAATGCATTATTCTTAAAAAAAATAATGTTCACAAAGCTGCATGACCTTTATATTAAATTAAATATTAAATATAAAAATTAAAAAATAATTTATTTTAAGTACACAAAGGCTCCGTTTGACAAGGAGGTTTGGGTTATTTTAACCACAAAAAACAAAATAAGCTATTTTAGTCACAACAAACAAAATATCACATCTAATCCATAATGATTACACTCTTCTTTTACAAAAAAAATCAAAAAGCCAAAAAATCCTTCCTAAACTAAATTTTTTAACCCAAGTTAAAATAGTCAAAAATATCAAAAAATTAAAAAGTCAACACCCTTCCTAATGAAGGCAAAGTGTATTTTTAAAATTTATTTTCAAAATAAGAAAAGATGATGGTCAAATGTCATAAGTCGCAAGAGGTAATTTATTCATTACTGGAAGTAGTGTGTTGCAGAAAGTGATGGACGGTAGGGGTGAGCAGCGGATATACCGATTCGCCAAAACCGACCGAACCGAACCGATCCGCCGCATTTTGGACGGATGCGTGATGACGAGCGGACTCATTCTAAATGAAACTTTTTAACACAGGCTAAAAAACTAAAAAAAAAAAAAAAACAACTCACATCCCAAACAAAACCTTACTTTTGTTTGATTTTTAGAAGTCTTCTACTCACATGTCCCAAATTAATAAAAAGAATATATGAATAATAATATCTAAAAAAAAAATTAGTTGCAACTACCTTGTTGGCGTGATGGTATGCTTTCTTTCTTTTTTTTCTTCTTCTAATTTTATACATGAAATAAATACCAAATTAGTTACTAGTTACAAGTTGATTAATAAATGATGTGTGGACTTTCACAAGTGTTCATAGACCAAGTCAAGGCAATTTAAATAGTTAAAATATAAGAGTGTTTTGAAAAAATAATTAAAACATATTTTTGTTTTTTTTTTTTATTTTATGTGAAAGATAAGGTGAGCTAAAATAATAAAAAATTAACTTTTGACCTTTTTAATATGTTACCAAAACACCCCATAATAGTTAAATGCATTATTCTTAAAAAAATAATGTTCACAAAGCTGCATGACCTTTATATTAAATTAAATATTAAATATAAAAATTAAAAAATAATTTATTTTAAGTACACAAAGGCTCCGTTTGACGAGGAGGTTTGGGTTATTTTAACCACAAAAAACAAAATAAACTATTTTAGCCACAACAAACAAAATATCACATTTAACCCATAATCATTACACTCTTTTCTTACAAAAAAAATTAAAAAGCTAAAAAGTCCTTCCTAAACTAAATTTTTTAACCCAGACTAAAATAATCAAAAATATCAAAAAATTAAAAAGTCAACACACTTTCTAAACGAAGGCAAAATGTATTTTTAAAATTTATGATTGATTTTCTTCAATCCGCCAATCTGGCGGACGGATGGCGGATTGGAGGTTTCGTGGCCGCAACCGACCCGCGCCCACCCCTAATGGACGGGACTCTGGAGGTGGAGGTGGTTTGAGCCAATTAAAAAATGGGATACAATATTTTAGTTTTAATTTTTTTTAAATTAAATTTTTTATTTTTCATATTTTTTATTTTTATTGAATATATTTAAAATTTTAAGTAATTTTTTATTTTTTTTTTGATACACTTTACTTAAATATTTTTAAAAAGTAAAATATTTATAAAAAAATATTTTTAAAAATTAATAAATATATAAAAATACGAAAAATATACTGAATTCTCATTTTTAAAAATATTTTTGGTATTTAGTAAATTTTTTAAAAAAAATCACAAATATTATACTTTTTAAGTGTATTTATGTTAAATGTATCTAAAAGATTAAAAAATTTACTTAGAATATTAAAAAAAGTTAGTGAAAACAAAAAAATACGAAAAATAAGAAATTTTAATTTTCTAAAAAGCGAATCTTGAAAATCCAAATCAAACAAGTCTTAAAAGTTTGACTTTATTTTTATCAAATTCTATTGAAAATAAGTAATAGTAAAATCGTCGTTAAAAATAATTTTTTGTGACAAATTTTTATATATATCACTAAAAATTGACAAATAATGACTTTTTTGTGATGATTTTTATAAATTATCGTTAAAACTTATAATTAGTGATATTTTTCTGTAACAAATTTTTTAAACTGTCACTAAAAATTAAAAATTAAGAATTTTTTTGTGACACTTTTTTAAATTGTCACTAAAACTTATAATTAATAACGTTTTTATAACAATTTTTAAACTGTTACTGAAAATCAATAATTAATGATATTTTTTAATAATATCTAATAAATTTACAGTATATAACTTATTAAAAAATAAATTTACCTATTAAGGCTTTGTTTGGGAAGCCAAATGTTGGGTTTTTTTGGCTAAAATAGTCACAATAAACAAAATAGGCTTTTTAGTCACAAAAAAATTAAATATCACATTCAACCTATAATCATTACATTCTTTCTCTTATAAAAAAGTCAAAAGTCTTTTCCAAATGAAATTTTTTAACCCTAAACTAAAATAACCAAAAAAATAAAAAAAAAAAACTAAAAAGTCAGCCTACTTCACAAACCTTAAAATTGCTTAAAAAATGATGGTTGAGTGTGAGAAGCGGTGATTAAAGATGATGGTTGAAGGCTCTGGTGTTGTTTGGCAAGTTAATTTGTGGCTAAAATAGTCATAAAAGACAAAATAGGTTATTTTAATCACAGCAAACAAAATATCACATCCAACTCATAATCATTACACTCTTCTCTCACAAAAAAAGTCAAAAAAATCAAAAAGTCAAAAAATCCTTTCCAAATCAAATTTTTTAGCCAAATTAAAATAGTCAAAAAAATTAAAAAGTCAAAAAATCAACCTATTTTCCAAACGGAGGCAAAAGCATGCAACCAAAGTTTGTTTTATAATCAAAAGTGATTATTATCAATAAGATGTGATTATCGGCTAATTGTCATAGGAAGTCTTCGGAAATAATCGCCCAAATGGAAGTGGCATGTGAGTAATCATCGGAAGGACCCAAAAAAAATGACTGAATGGATTTATTATTATTATTATTTTGTTATAAGTATTTTTTTTTTCTTTTGTAGTGATAATAACAAATTTGTAAATTATTTAGAAGTTTTTAAAATAATATTTTATATTAAATAAGTTTTTGTTTGTAATTTTCAAACCAAATCAAACCAATCAAATCCAAGTTTTAAGTCTTAACAAATGGGATCGGTTACATGAATCTTTCTTCTCCGTGCGACTCTATCAAAAGTCATTTCATTAGTCAAATTAAGTAGATCCATATATCTATTTACAACGCTAGTCAACGTCAATCTAAGCCTATTCGGTCCCCTAACACTTCTATCTACTGTCACTGCATCGCATCTCTTCATTACTGCCTCTGTTGGTCTCCGTTGATTATGACCAGACCAAACCATCTCATCGTTTCTCTCTCAACTTATCTTCTATCGGTGTTACTCCTACCCATTCCCAATGTAATAACCCCGACTTCCGATTAATGCTAAACCATGATTATTTATGCCTAACAGTAATTTAGAAGGAATCCGAAATTAAATTGTATATGTATTGCATTATCTTTGTGTTTTTATCTATTTGCCATAAAATGATATGTTCATGTTTTGACTTTAAACTGCGAATTGAAAGCCTTATCGGCGATCGATTCAAAAATTGTTTAGTGTTTAAGACTAGTTAAAATATATGTGATTTTATGGTATATTTAATTAGAATTTGATTTGGTGTGATTAAATTAGAATAAATAGTGTTAAATTACATTAGATGGCTTATTTACCAAAATGCCATTAGGTGGACTTTGCTAGACCAATTGTTTAGTCTTGATTTACACTTGTTGGCATCATTTTCATCCATCCTCCTAGACTAAGCCATGAGAAAGAGGGAGAGTGAGAGAAACTTGGTTTCATCAAGAATTTGGCTTGGAAATTGAGGATTTGTAGAAGAACTACAGAATTGAGCTAGCACACCTGGAACTCAAGACTTAAGGTAGGAGATTCCCCTTTCAATTGTGAATTTAAGATTAATTCTTGCATGGTTCATGGAAGATTAGAGTTTAAAGTCTAGAATTTGTTTAAAGAGTTGGATTTGAGAGTGAATTCATGCATGCATGCATATATTCTTAGATTTTGGAGTTGTTCTTCATGAATTTCCACATGCATGTCCACATTTTTGTTATAGTCCATGA